TGCCTGGTTTTATTAATCCAATTCTTTTAAAGGGTACAAATACTCCTCTTGGAAAACTTACACTTTTCAAGAACAGAATAAAGTAAATATAACAATACAGAAATACAGAAAAAAATTTAGTATTCATTTCCCTGTTTAAAGAATGATGTTTAAATTTTTTGTTATAAATTATCCTCCAATGAGTTAACTGATATTTACATAAAATTGATTTTATTTACCACATAGTATATTGTTTACATTTCACTTAATTATGTATTATTTTACTGATGGGTAGAAGCAGAACCTACTAGATGGTGATTATTCCAAATTTTGTGAATGTTTATAGACCAGGAGATTTGATTGCGTGCACAAGTGCAGTGACTTCACAGCAGCTGACGAGGATATGTTGTACCAGTTCTCAGTTATTACTTTCAGTAGGTAATAGATATTTTAGCATCTAGTCTCCAATGTCTAAACACTATATTCATATATTAACAGTCAGACAGGCAAAGTGGTAAACATTCTAGATAAATAACTTCTTATGTTCTTATAACAGGCTGCTAGATTAGATTTGCCTTTTTTTTTTTGCAATTGTTGGCTGGGGCTGGGTTTGAACCCGGGTCCTCTAGCATATGGGGCCACCTCCTTTGAGCCACAGGTGCTGCCCCTTGATTTGCTATTTTAATTGGGATACTCATCGTCAGTAAATGGATTATTTTTGACACTTGACTTGATTTTGTATGTTATCCTTTTTCAACTTTGGTAAAAGGGTAAAAAGCCTCATAGCCATGATTTCTTTGTATCTTGAAGAGATAGAAGACGTAATCACCAAGATAATTTGCTTCTAGATGAATTATACGGTATAGCTGTTTAATCAGTTACTTCTTGGTTCTTTCTTTATTCAGAAAAATAATACTTTTTCAGGATTTCAGACATACTATAAAAAGCTAAATATATGGCTTGGTTCCCATAGCTCAGTGGTTAGGGTGCTGGCCACATGCACTGGGGCTGGTGGGTTGGAACCCAGACAGTGCCTGTTCAAACAATAATGACAGCAATAACAACAAAAAAATAGCCAGGCATGTGGTGGGTGCCTATAGTCCCAGTTACTGGGAGGCTGAGGCAAGAGAATCGCTAGAGCCCAAGAGTTTAAGGAAGTTGTGAGCAGTGATGCCACAGCCCTCTACCGAAGGCAACATAGTGAGATTCTGTCTCAAAAAAAAAAAAAAAGCTGAATTTAAATATATGGTATAAGATAATGCTAACTATGTAAACAAATAGTTCCTATATTTTACCATATCAAAGATGAGTATGTGTGAATACATTTCAATTATACATGTTTAATATTTAAAAAAATAATTCTTTTCTATAATATCAGATATACCACAAAGAGGTGAAATATGAACATTTTATCGTTTTGCTAAATTAAAAGCTGAATGTGTATGTATGTGATAATATTTTCTCAAGTGATAATTTTCCATTACCCAAATATATTATCAAAAGTTGAATATAAACTTACAAAAAATGCATGGAGTTTCTTATTTCATACAAGTCCAGGGAAAGGGCAGTTCCAAATGGTTTCATCAGATTAAAAATATCAAGGATACAGGTTATTCCAATCTATCCCCAGTGTCCATCTCAGCTTCCTGACCCTTTGGTTGTAAAATGGCCACAGTTCCAGGTATCACACAGATATATATGTTGTACCTAAGAAAAACATTTCCTTCTATTTTGTTAAGAAAGAAAATTTAACTGAAGCCCATTTACAGCTCAGGACTGTCATACCTATGATCAGATGAAAAGCATCATTCCTTTGATCAAAAGTTTACTGAGAATCTACTAGGAATAAGTAATACACCAGGTGAAGTCAAGAGTGAATCCTGGCCCTTTATCATCCCTGTTCTCTACATATATTAAAAGTTAATTTTTCCCCAAGTACAGCTTTCTTGACGTCCTACAAATTTCAACATGTAGTGTTGTCTTTGTCATCTATTCCTAATGGCAAATTGCCTTCCTTTTTACTATGAAAATTATTTATACTGGTAGCTTTTAAATTTCCTAGTGGAGAAAAGGATTTTGGGTAACACTGTGTTACTTTCTAACTCTCTAGAGATCAGAGATCTTGGCATGTCTTGTTTGTTAAAGTTTTAATAAATCATTTAAATCTTTCTCCTGACCTCACTTCAAACAACTTTTAGTCTACTGGGTCTCCTTACATTATGAAGACAAAAGGATGAGCTATGAATGAAAATTTTTTCTCCAAAAGGAATTAACATTAAAAAAAAATTTAAAAAAGAAAGAAAAGATGATGTAAGATGTTCTTATAGTCACTGCACGTATAAGGCCTTCCTTTCACATGCCCTGTCATAATGCACAATTATGAAAATAGTAAAGGCTCAGTGCCTGTTGCTCAGTGGTTAAGGCGCCAGCTACATGTGCCAGGGCTGGTGGCACCAAACAATGATGACAACAACAACAACAACAAAAATAGCCGGGCATTGTGGTGGGCACCTATAGTTCTAGCTACTCGGGAGGCTGAGGCAAGAGAATCGTTTAAGCCCAAGAGTTTGAGGTTGCTGTGAACTGTGACACTATGACACCCTACGGAGGGTGACAGACTGTTTCAAAAAAAAAAGGAATAATAATAATAAAAGCAGCTCTCACTTCCAATACTAGCTACTGTTCTAAAGGTCATAAATGTATTTAACCCTCACAGTGTAACTAAAAAATACCATGCCAGTATTACTAATTTGTAAATGAGGAAGTTTGCCCTATTTTGCCATGTATAATGCACTCTTTTTTGCCCAAATTTTTGAGGGAAAAATAAGGATGTACATTATATATGGGTAGTAGAGTTAAGGAGTGGGAGAGCTCAGCAGGGGCCCTCAGGGGCCACCACACCCTCCTGCCTGGGTCTGCCAAGATCCATGGGAGTGGGTTAGAGTAGCCTCTGCTGAGTGCTGCAATCGGGAGGGGGCGGTGATAAGGCTGGTGAGGCAGTGCAGTTGGTGGGGGCTAAGGCCCAAGGCTGGGATGTGTGGAGGGAACCAAGAACCCTGCAGAGGGTCCAGGACCTGCCTAGCTGCCTGAGCAGACTCAGAAGCTCCCTCCTTTCCTGCCACATGCATGGCCATCTCACCAATGACCCCAGTGTAGCCAGGAGGGAAGGGCTCCTAGGACAGAAAGGGCAGCCTTCACAGAGCAGGTGATTATGGGAAGGGGTGCAATCTGCATGTCTACCAGGGAAGCATTAGCCTTCCCCAGATGTGTTTCTCCTAGCCAAGAGCTGGCTTCTTTCTCGAGAGGTGTTTTTCTGAAAGTTTGAGACAAAAGGTGGGTGCCATATTATACATAGAAGGACATTATACAAGGCAAAATACAGTATTTAATAGACACAGTTAATTTGGCCTATAAGAAATGAGTTATAATGACGAGGGCAAGTAAAAGTAAACACTGATTAAATTTTTATACACACACACACACATATATATATATATATATATATATTTTTTTTTTTAAGAGACAGGGTCTCACTATGTTGCCCAGGCTGGAGTGCCGTGCCTATTCACAGGCATGATCCCACTACTGATCAGCATGGGAGTTTTGACCTGCTCCATTTCCAACTTGGGCCGAATCACCCCTCCATAGGCAACCTGGTGGTCCCCTGCTCCCAGGAGGTCACCATATTGATTCTGAACTTAGTGCAGACACCTGATTGGCATAGCTCACTACAGCCCAGAACTCCTGGACTCAAGCAATCCTCCTGTCTCAGCCTCCCAAATAGCTGGAACTACAGGTATGCACCACTACGCCTGGCAAACTTTTCCTATATTGATTCAGTTAAGGTTAATTTTAGAGAATTGGCTTCCAAATATTTAACAAGATTTGAGTGGGATGAAGAATGTGTGGGTGGATTGCTTGAGCTCAGAAGTTTAGGACGAGCTTGAGACAGAGTGAGACTCTGCCTCCAAAAAAAAAGAAAAGAAACCCTGGGCATTGTGGCAGGCACCCTTAGTCCTAGCTACTCCAGAGGCTGAGGCAAGATAGTCACTTGAGCCCAAGAGTTTGAGGTTGCTGTAAGATATGATGCCAAGGCACTCTACTAAAGGAGACAGTGAGATTCTGTCTCAAAAAAAAAAAAAAGAATATGCTACATTTTTAACATTAATGTAGAATTCCTCAAGTACTAATTGTCAAATGAACTATTTCTTAACTAAAGAAAATTGGTGGCTCGGCGCCTATAGCTCAACCGGCTAAGGCGCCAGCTACGTACACCTAAGGTGGCGGGTTCGAATCCCCAGCCCGGACCCGCCAAACAACAATGACGGCTGCAACCAAAAAATAGCCGGGCGTTGTGGCGGGCGCCTGTGGTCCCAGCTACTTGGGAGGCGGAGGCAGGAGACTCGCTTGAGCCTAGGAGTTGGAGGTTGCTGTGAGCTGTAATGCCACGGCACTCTGCCCAGGGGGACAGCTTGAGGCTCTGTCTCAAAAAAAAAAAAAAAAAAAAGAAAATTGGTGTCTCACACAAATAGCATTAATATTAAGAATCCTCTGGTTTTCTGAGGGTAATAACTCTGAATGGTTAATTTTTCTAACACATTTACTTCCCTCCTAAGCTTCTCTCCATTATGAATTCCCTGAGGATGACTTGGCCACTGACAAGGCCATCTCATTTTTCTTACATTCATGAGGTTTTGGACTTTTCATCAACTGAACTTTGAGGTATAATAAATTCAGAAACACAAACTCCTCCTAATTCCTAACATTTATAATGTTTCTCATCAGTAAAAAATCAATTCTGGCCTTAAGTAAAGGTATCTTTCAGGCCTTATATCTACATTATAAGTTCTGATATTTAGTATTAGACTCAAATGCCTCCCATGTTCCTTATAATTATAGATTTATCTTTTAAAACTGTATGAATTTTCTAATGTCAAATAAAATTCTGAGCCTTCTCCTATTTCTTCATTCACTCCTCTGTCCTGTATGAATTCTTTCATGTTGACTAAGGTGTGAGCCACGAATAAAGGCTTTCCCACATTGCTTACATTTATAGGGTTTCTCACCAGTATGAATTTTCTGGTGTCGACTAAGTTCTGAGCCACGACTAAAAGCCTTCCCACATTCCTTACACTCATAGGGTTTTTCACCACTGTGACTTCTGGCATGATGAGTAAGTTCTGACCTTCGGATAAAAGCCTTTCCACATTCCTTACACTTATGGGGTCTCTCACCAGTGTGAACTTTTTGATGTCGAACAAGTTCTGTGCTACAAGTAAAGGTTTTTCCACACTCCTTACATTCATAGGGTTTCTCACCAGCATGAGCTCTCTGATGTCGAGTAAGTTCTGAGGCACGACAAAAGGACTTCCCACATTCCTTACACTTATAGGGTTTTTCACCAGTATGGACACTCTGATGTCGAATAAGATGTGAATCAGAGATAAAAGCTTTTCCACATTCCTTACATTTATGTGGTTTCTCACCGGTATGAATTCTTTGATGTAGACTCAGCTGTGAGGCACAACTATACACTTTTCCACATTCCTTACATTCATAGTGTTTCTCACCAGTATGAATTATCTGATGAAGACTAAGTTGTGTGTCATAACGAAAAGCTTTCCCACATTGCTTACATTTATGGGGTTTCTCACCAGTATGGATTCTCTGATGTCGGGAAAGGTGTGAAGGACGGGTAAAGGCTTTCCCACATTCTTTACATTCATAGTACTTCTCATCACTATGAATTCTCTGATGTAGATTAAGTTGTGTGGTAGATGGAAAAGCCTTCCCACATTCCTTACATTTATAGGGTTTCTCACCTATATGTATCCTTTGATGATGATTAAGTTGTGAACTAGAATGAAAGGCTTTCCCACATTCCTTACACTTATGAGGTTTCTCAACAGTATTAATGCTCTGAGGTTGAATAATTCCAGAGTCTTGAATAAAGGCACATTTCTTATTTTCACTACAGTTTTTGCTTTCATGAAGTCTTCCATGCTTAATCAAGTCCGATCTACTATTAAAGATTTTCCCACATTCTCTACATTCAGATTCCTTTTCCTTATTATGAATTCTTTCAAGATGAATAGGATGTGACTGGCACCTGGATTTCTTTCCAGTATGAACTCTCTGATGCTCTTTCTGGGCTGTGCACTGAATGGATGTGGCCCTTTCTTCAGAGGTTGTTACATTTTGGGTGAAAAGTCCCTCCAGATACCCCTGTCGTCTCTCCACCTGGCATTTGATTCCTCTGTTATCTCTGATTATAACCCATTGCAAGGACTTAATTTTATAACTGTCCTCTTTTGGAGATAAATTCTTGGTTTCTCCTCCAGACTCCTGGTCTGTAAGATAACAAGAAAGAAAACAGGAGATATTTTCACCATTGCAGGAGACATGTTCTAAAGCACAAATGACAAATTAAAATAGTGAATAATTTAAACAACTCTTAATGCTACACTGCAATTTGGAAAAAAAAATGGCAGGGGGAATGAGAATAGAGAAAATGGAGACAGCTCATAAAGAAAGAGGCAGTTGTTCTTCACCTCTGTTGAGTATCTGTATCAGATGTAAAACTTATTTAAAATACAACATCCATGAACCATCCAAGACTAAATAACAATTTAAATGACTACGAGACATTTACAATAGCAAATTCTCTCATCTCCATTCTCAAAATATATTCAGATTTTGACTTTTCTTGTCTGCCTATATTTCTACCATCTTGTCTAAAGCCATCTCTCACCAAGAGTAACATAATACTAATTTAACTGGTCCCTCATTTTTTACTGTTGCACTCCTAATACTCCACACCCAACACAATAGCCAGAGCGTTCCTGTTGAAATAGGTCAGAGCATGTAATTTTTCTGCTCAAAATCCTCCAATGGATCCCCCTCTCATTAAGAGTAAAAGTCAAAAGTCCTTTTTTTTTTGCAGTGTTTGGCCGGGGCCAGGTTTGAACCCGCCACCACTGGTATATGGGGCCACAGGCACCACCCCAAAGTCCAAAGTCCTTTTATGTGGTGTACAAGGCCTTCCAAAAGCTCGTCCCACACTACCTCTCTCTGACCTTGTTTCCTATCTTCTCCCATTGGCTGACATGTTCTTCACACTTGCCCTTTCATAATCTCTCTCTGCAAATATCTTCCTTACATATCAATATGGCTCATTTAATTACTTCATTCTTCTATTCAAATGCCAACTTATGAAACCACCCTTTACAGAACAGGACCCCTATCAATCTACTTATCCTATTTTTTCACAGCACACACTTATAATCACATCATCTTACTTTTCCAGTATTATGAAAAACTTCAAATATACAGAAGAATGAATTAGATAGTGAACCTTCATATTCCCACTACCTTGAGTCTATAACATCTGGCTCTGTTATCAAATATCTATCCATCCATTAAGCCATATTGCAGACATTGATATAATTCATTTCTAAATTCAACAGGAGATTATGGTATACTTTAAATTGTTTAATATATATATTTTTGTGAGACCCTAGTTGCTCTGGGTAGAGTGCGATGGCATCATAGTTCACAGCAACCTCAAACTCCTGGACTCAAGCAATCCTCTTGCCTCAGTCTTCCGAATAGCTGGTAGGACTACAGGTGCCCACCACAATGCTGGGCTAAATTTTGTATTGTCTGTCTGCCCCTCATTGTGCCTGTTTTTCTTTCTCTCTGTTTTTTTTTTGAGACAGAGCCTCAAGCTGTCGCCCTTGGTATAATGCTGTGGCATCACAGCTCACAGCAAACCTCCAACTCCTGGGCTTAATTGATTCTCTTGCCTCAGCCTCCCAGCCTCCCAAGTAGCTGGGACTACAGGTGCCTGCCACAATGCCCAGCCATTTTTTGATTGGTGTTGTCGTTGTTTGGCAGGCATGGGCTGGATACAAACCTGCCAGCTCTGGTGTATGTGGCTGGTGCCCTGGCTGCTTGAGCTACAGGCACCGAGCCCTCATTGTGCCTATTTAAAGTAAACACTTGATAACTATTTGTACCATGAATGAACAGCCACTGGTATTTTTATATGTGATCTCCCTCAATGATTCTGGGGCAACTGAAGTGTGAGAACACTGTCTAAATACTGTGCCCTTACCCCATACTTAAATAAAATCTAAACTTTCCACCAGACCTGCAAAACTCTGCATTATCTGAAACCTGCATCTCTATCGCCTTCATTTTGAGGCAGTCTCACCTTCACACACTATGTGTCCACTAAGCTGGCTTCCATCTGATTCCTATACCATGTCAACTGCTTTCTCATCTAAGACCTTTTGAAACAGTGTTTTACTCCAATGAATATTCTGTTCCAGATCTCTGTACAGCTAGTTTCTCTCATTCTAAATATTTCAATTTTCTGTCAAGTACACCGTTCTTTGCTCTTATCTTTTTTTTTTAATCGTGGAATGGCATACTTATTTGTTCATCACTTTATCTGATGCTATGATTTACCCCAAAGTGGCACAGAACTAGTGTAATACTTCTTTCACTCACCAGTCCCCAGCATATAGTTCAATTCATGTCAAATAAAATAATCACTAGATTAAAGGCATTCAGGTGGAAATAAAGAACATAATAACAATAATAAAATTAGGAGAAATCTTTGAGAATCAGAGTGATCACTGCATGCTTTTTTTTTGAGACAGAGTCTCACTCTGTCACCCTTGGTAGAGTGCCATGGCATCACAGCTCACAGCAACCTCAAACTCTTAGGCTCAAGTGATTCTCTTGCATCAGCCTCCCAAGTAGCTGGGACTATAGGTGCCTGCCTATATGCCACAACGCCCAGCTACTGATCACAGTATCCTTTTTTTTTTTTTCACATTTTTTTTTTTTTATTGAATGGTAACTATGTATATTAATGCACTTCTGGGGTACAGTGTAGGGTTTTCACATGCAATCTGAAATACTTCCATCAAACTGGTCAACACAGCCTTCATGTCATTTTCTCAGTTATTGTTTTAAAACGTTCACATTCTACTCTTAGAAAGATTCACTTGTACCCCTATACAGTATGTTTTTAATTATGTAATAGGTGATAGGCATGTCATCCTGATCCTAATCCCTTCCAGCTTCAATATAGGACATTGCATGCTTTCCTACATTATTTCCCATGCACACAGCAGCAAAGCACAGGCCAGCCACCTTCATTAGAGTGTATCTGTCCTCTAAAACACTAACAGCTTTACAGAACAGCAAAAATCTTATGCAATTCTGAGCAAATCCTAATGGAAGCTAAGGATGATAAGTGTGAAGGCCTGAGTATTCCCATTCCCTAATCACCAATATAGAGTTTGAGGGAGGTATACCAGTGTCTCTCTTCTGTGTTCTTGTTGATGCATAGTAATGTCTTGCTGAATAGCATTCATTATTGTTGCTTTTTCTTTTTTTCTTTTTTTGAGACAGAGTCTCACCTAGGTTGCCCTCAGGAGAGTACCATGGTGTCATGGTTCACTGCAACCTCAAATTCTTGCGCTTAAGTGATTCTCTTGCCTCAGCCTCCCAAGTAGCTGGGACTACAGGTGCCTGCCACAACACCTGGCTATTTTTTAGAGACAGAGTCTTGCTATGGCTCAGGCTGGTCTCGATTCTGTGAGCTCAGGCAATCCACCTACCTCGGCTTCCCAGAGTGCTGGGATTACAGGCGTGAGCTACTTCGCCTAGCCTATTATTGTATATTTTTCTGTGCCATGTGATGATAGCTCTTATGGCCATTGCAGAAAAAGTTCCAAAATTGCTCTAAAGGGGCTTGGCACCTGCAGCTCAGTGGCTAGGGCGCTGGCCACATACACCAGGGCTGGTGGGTTCAAACCTAGCCTGGGTTCCCTAAGCAACAATGATAACTACAACAAGAAAAATAGCCATGCGTTGTGGCAGGGGCCTATAGTCCCAACTATTTGGGAGGCTAAGGTCTAAAGAATTGCTTAAGCCCAAGAGTTTGAGGTTGCTGTGAGCTGTGATGCCATATCACTCTACTGAGGGTGACATTATGAGACTGTCTCAAAAAAAAAAAAAGCTCTGGAGGGTGGACTATGCTCTGGCATTGGTACATAGCTTCCCAAGGGAAATAATTTGAAGGTAACTGTAGTGATTTAATCATGAGTTACGTTATCACTTTTTCTAGGATGAGTTCACAAACTTAATTGTCAGATTCATATTTATACCATGAAATACTATTTTGTCAATGTAAAAGAATGAAGTACTGATATATATACATACAATAATGAATGAAACTTGAGAACATTCTGCTAAGTGAAAGAAGGCACTCACAAATTACACATTGTGTGTGGTATCATGAATGTAAAATGTGCAGAACAGGCACATCTATACAGACAGAAAGTAGACTAGTGGCTGCCTAGGACCATGTGTGGGAGTGACTGCTAATGGGTACTGCATTTCATTTTAAGCTGATAGAAATATTCTATAATTAGAACATTGTAATGGTTGCACAACTCTGTGAATGTACTAAAAAACCACTGAATTATATACTTTAAATGGATGAATTTTACAGTATGTGAATTACTTATTAATAAAACTGTTTTTTTGGCCGGGGATGGGTTTGACCCACCACCTCCGGCATATTGGACCGGGGCCCTACCCTTTTTAGCCACCGGTGCCGCCCCTTAATAAAGCTATTTTTAATAGTTAGGATAAAAGTGAATCTCAAGTGCAAGTAAAATGACTGTCACAGGGAGGGAGGAGGTTACTTCCTATATGTAATGAGAGGGAAATATGATAGAAGGGTAGTGAGAGAGTATAGTAAATAGAGTAAAATTTTAGGGTCTTGTGCTGAAACACCCTTGACTGTCTTCCCCAGATGTCAGTCCTCTTTAGGGAACTTTACTATCAACATCTCATAGGGCATCTAGGTGACTTAATACAAATTATAGCCTCCCCAGTGTGACTCATTATTGCTTACCTGGACACCATTCTTTTGTTTCCTTCCTTTTAATCATCCAAGGGTCTTTTCCTTGCTCCAATAAGGAGATCACACTTGGCTTAGTACAAGAAAGTCCTGCTCAAGAAAAAAAGGGAAGAAGGTTATGGAGTAGGTATCACAATTAAAGCCTATCCATGATTATTAAGAAAAAGGAGCAAGTAGATTAAGACACAAATGAGGACGAGTTTCTTAACAAAACCCATCTCCAACTTCACAAGAGAAAAACCATTCTGCTGAGCAAGAATCATTAATTCAGCCAGGTATTTAAAAAGCACTTAGTGGAAAAACTCACAATAAAAAATATAAGAATTCCAGAAGGGGAACTCTGAATTTTGTGGGAGAAGACAAACTTACCCAGTGCGATCAGGTTATTATAATTTTCCAACATTACATCTCGGTACAAATCCTTCTGAGTAGTGTGCAAGCATCCCCACTCCTTTTGAGAGAAGTAAATGACAACATCTTTAAACTTCAAGCCCTGAAATCACAAGTAAATATATTTGTGAAATTAATGGATAAAATCTTTAAGACAGTATAAAAGGAAACAAAGAAAGCAATTCATTCCAGGAGCTCCACTGGGAAAATAGGCTGTGCTGTGCCCTTCAACATGGATGGGTCAATATGGAAACAAGGGTGACTCCAGTCAGGTACCCACATGGTTCTTGAGCATACTTACTCCTGAAGATGTAACTGGGCGCTTCCATCATTCTCCCAGGTCTGGGGAATAACCAAAGGCCAGATAAGTGATGCTCCCAATTAAATGAAATTGTTCATGCCCATGCACAGCACACAGAACACCCTATGTTCAGCACACAGTGCTTCTTGTTGCTTCCTCCCCATTCTTCCACTCAAGAAATGAAATCTTTTTTTTTTTTTTTTTAGAGACAGAGTCTCACTTTGTTGCCCTTATTAGAGTGCCATGAAGTCACAGCTCACAGCAACCTCTGGGCTTAGGTGATTCTCTTGCCTCAGCCTCCCTATTAGCTGGGACTACAGGTGCCCGCCACGACACCCGGCTGTTTTTCTGTTGCAGTTTAGCTGGGGCTGGGTTTGAACCCACCACCCTGGGTATATGGAGCCAGCGCCCGACTCACTGAGCCACAGCACCGCCCAAGAAATGAAATCTTAACCAGTTTTCTATGTCATCATAAATTCTTAAACAGACATTATTTTTACTGGCTTAATGACACCTCATCATATGTATTCAGTATTCTTATTTTGGAGCACTTGTTTGGAGACGTTCTCTAAGATTCTTTTGCAGTTATTACAGTCACTATTTCTCAATAATTTCTTGCTAACTTGTTCCTGTTACCACAGATTGTCCCTAACTACAATACTCTTCTTGTTCCCAAGCTACCAGATCTGATGGAGAAAGATCCAAAATCACAATCATGTGACTCAAAGTAAGCAAACACATCACAATTTCAAAATGGATCCATCTGGCAAAGACTCCTTGGGAATATCTGATAATTCCATACACTCAATCTATCATATCCCTGTATTTCTAGTCCTAAAAACCTCAGAGTGCTAGAGATACTGGCAGATGCTAAGACTAAACAAATCAACATAAATTCCCTTCTTGTCTAATTGGGAAACTCAAGTGTGCAACGTGATTCCACTTAACCACTCATACTTCATTAAGTTGTAGCTCTAAGAAGGTAAATGTAAAATTTCCAACAAGGGTCAGTTTTCCTACTCCATCAGTACTCTTGGTAGAAGGATATGCCCTTAAAAAATGCTAAGTGGTTTGCTATTGAATACCTGAACACTTATTAGAGGGATACTTTAGGGACAGTAGCCTTTGGTAGCATAATTGACTGGAGTGGAAGAACTGGGGAGCAAGTTCCTAAAGAGAGGCAGGAAGTTTCAGGAAGAAGAATCTTTTCAAGTCTTCCAAAACAAAAAGAATGAATTCAGAAGCAGAGAGCAGAACAGTGTCTACCAGAGATGGAAAGGATGGGAAGGAGTTGGCCAATAGGTACAAAGTTATGATTAGATAGGAGGAATAAATTCTGGTGTCCTACTGGATTTTTTCTAGAGAAAGCCTGAGAAAGCAAAAATGAAGAAAAAGCAGGGCCCCTAAACAACAATGATAACTACAACAAGAAAAATAGCCAGGCGTTGTGGCAGGGGCCTATAGTCCCACCTATTTGGGAGGCTGAGGTCTAAAGAATTGCTTAAGCCCAAGAGTTTGAGGTTGCTGTGAGCTGTGATGCCATATCACTCTACTTAGGGTGACATTATGAGAGTGTCTCGAAAAAAAAAAAAAAAAAAAGCTCTGAAGGGTGGACTACGCTCTGGCATTGGTACATAGCTTCCCAAGGGAAGTAATTTGAAGGTAACTGTAGTTGATTTTTGGTCATGAGTTACACACCAAATGGATTCCATGCATCAGCCACCTCTTGAGCTTTGTTCCCACATCCCAAAACTGGGGCCCTCAGACTGAAGCCGTAAGCTCTTTATATAAAGACCCTGTCCAGAATCACCAATATTGAACCTGACAACCCACAAGGACCAATAGGTCCTTTTAGCCTCAGCAGAGCTCAACTACCTGGATGCACAATGCAATGGCTTTCTCTGAAACTATAGTTCCTAGAATCTTTTCTCTTCTTTTTTTTTTTTTTTTTTTTTTGAGACAGAGTCTCACTTGTCGTCCTCAGTAGAGTGCCGTGGCATTACAGCTCAGAGCAACCTCAAACGCCTGGGCTTAAGAGATTCTCTTGCCTCAGCCTCCTAAGTAGCTGGGACTACAGGTGCCCACCACAACGCCTGGCTATTTTTTTTTTGTTGTTGTTGTTGTAGTTGTCATTGTTGTTTAGCAGGCCTGGGCCGGGTTCAAACCTGCCAGCCCCGTGTATGTGGCCAGCACCCAAACCACTGAGCTATGGGCACTGAGAAAGTTCCTGGAATCTTTGTAGTCAGCACATCCTTGTTCCAAACTGAGACCACATGTGACTTTCCTGCCTCATATTCCCTCCTGCGACAGCCCCTAGGTCTTACTGCTGATAATGCCCTGCTCGTTGCATCTCAACTACAGTCACTGTACTTGAAGCAGTAGGTTTCTGGTGCCTTATATGTCTATATGTTTTAAGATTCAAGAAGAGGTCCATGAATCCTAATTCAAAGGGAACCTTAGCTTGGAAAAGTGAAATCATTTACTCAAATTTGCAGTTAGCACAAGCAATGATGAGGTTTTTTTTTTTTCTCATTAAACTTTGTTTTAATGGGAATGATGAGTTTTGAATCTAGATTTTTCCAAGTCCAAACTGGGTTGCCTTCAACTTCAGGCTCTTGCAGATGCAACCAGAGATTTCCTGATCATTTGAAATAACCCTCAGCTGGGCCCTGCATGTAGGGGAACAGAACATGTCTGTCACTGCAGAGCACAGCACTCTATGAGGGGAAATCCCTGTCAGAAGAAAACAGGAGGAAAGAAGCAACTGTGTCAACAAAATTATTTTATCCAAAAATGTCAATCAAAATCCCCCTTGACTCTCATTTTGTAAGGGCATTAGGGACACAGATGACTCTGACCCAGAACCTGTTCTTATAAAGCTTAGAGTCAGGGAGGAAAAACAAAAAATAACAGTCAACACAATCACAGGATATCAGGCTCTGTGGAGAACTAGTTACTATGACCACATCATCAGCTAAAAATAATGGACTGAATATTACAAACATTTTAGAATGTAATAATAAGCTTCAAAAAAGGAAAAATAGACTTTGGTGGCTAAAGCTAAGTCCAAATAGGAACTGACAGGGGTTATGCTGAGACACTGAAGCTTCTTTTGCAGAGAAGTCTCCTAAGCCCACATGGCCATAAGCTTGGACATTCATCTTCAGAAACAGGGGGACATCAAACCTACAGCCAGCCAAGATGGAAGTCTAACTGGTTACACACTGCAAACACCTGCGATCCCTCGGACCATGCCCTCCAAGTAAGGAAAAGCTAGAAGTAGCACTCCCATTCTTGGGGGCTTCCAGGAGAACTGTACTATGCCTGACTTGAACCTTGGGAGCTGGTAAAAGGAAAACATTCCCCTGTAAGGAACTGTGATCATAAGCCAATCCTCACACAAGTCTGCAGCTCACATTCACATTGCTAAGGTGGCTCTATGAATTTACTTTAAGGTGGTTGTGCTTTGGCAGTGCACCTCGTAGAAGCATAGATCTGCCCTAGAAAAACAACTTTCAACTGGGCCTCAATAATCCATGGGTAGAATTCCCAGGAAAATGACCTAAGAGTCCAAAATAAAACACCACCACATTGTGAATGCACAAAATGTCACTGGACTATATACTTTAAAACGATTCACTGTATGTTCTATGACTTTTGCCTAAATAAATAACTAAATTAAAAACATAAAAACAAGACATGCAGAAGAAATTCAATCATACTATCATTTCAACTTTTTGTTATATTTGAAAATTTCCATAAGAAAAAGTTGGGGGGGGGGCAGTGCCTGTGGCTCAAGGAGTAGGGCACTGGCCTCATATACCGGAGGTGGCAGGTTCAAACCTGGCCCCGGCCAAAAACTGCAAAAAAAAAAAAGAAAAAGTTGGGGGGATCATAACTGCAAAACATTCATCTATTACATTGATAATACCAAAGAATATAAAACAGACATACATGTTTAACAACATGTCAGAGAAATGACACATTTCAAAGAAAAAGCTTACAGAATAAAAGTCATAATACTGAAATTATATAATGGTTAGAATAATTATCTCTGAAGAAAAATTACTTGGCTGAATAAGATATTAAAAGATTATACATAATACACTCAAAAAAGACGAATGTGAGAAAATATTAAATACAAATAAGAGATTAAGAAAAAATGAGATGGCTTTACAGTTATCTAACCAGAGTTCTAGAAGGAAAAAAGGATAAAGACTTGAGAAAAAAGGCAGCATTTGAAGACACAATGGATAAGAAAATTTCAGAACTGACAAAAGCCTTATTCAGATTTAGGAAGCCTAGTGAGTCTCATAAAGAAATCCATGCCTACGCCATCACACCATCACACCAAAATTGCAGATCACTAATGACAGAGTGTGTTAAAAGCAATTTGGGGTTAAAGACAGATTATCCGCAAAAAAATAATTTGATTGACAGACTAACTAAATAACAAGGAGGTTAACCAGAAGACAGCAAAATATCTCAGTGTGTTGGGAGTAAATTATCTTTCATAAATGAGGGCAAATAAACCCAGGATGGTGGCTCACACCTGTAATCCTAGCGCTCTGGGAGGCTGAGGTAGGTGGATTGCTTGAGCTCAGGAGTTCAAAACCAGCCTGAGCAAGAGCACAACCCTGTCCTTACTAAAAATAAAAAAAACTGGCTCGGCGCCTGTGGCTCAGGGGGCTAAGGCACCAGCCACATATACCTAAGGTAGCGGGTTTGAATCTAGCCTGGGCCCACCAAAACAACGACAGCTGCAACCAAAAAATAGCTGGGCACTGTGGCGGGCACCTGTGGTCCCA